GCATCCTAGACCAAGCCAAATCCAAAAACACTAGGGAATTCCTGGAAGCTTGGCATTCAGACAAATCAAACAAATCAACACATAGAAATAAACCATATTTACACACTATTCAAAAGAGGCAACAAAAGTTAAGAACAAACAAAAAGATCAGAACACATCCTCTCCAGCAGCCAACACCTAGATAAGTAGGGATTAACACTGGATAAACAATCAAGCAGAAAACAATACCCTAATCAAGGAACTGCCAAGGACAAAACCACATCCCCACCAACACTGGCAGGGCAAACTACTGTATATAAACAGGGAGCAAACCCCACACTCACTTGCACTGATTATATTACCTAGCTGGGTAATGAAACATCTGCAAGCAAACAACTAAGCTCAGAGGGCTCCACAGATAGTTCTTTGTTGGCACATTTCCATATGGAAGCTTGCACAAAGCTCATGAACGATAATGAAAGTACTACAAAGGATAGTTCTTTGTACAAATGGCATTGTGCCTAAAATCAATGAAAATAATCAGGAAATTGAATACAAAAATTTGGGGAGTACTACATTATAAGTCTACATATGATGTGTCCACTAATTCTATGAATTAGCATTTTTACCACCAGCGCTCTGATGACAGCTGAAGCAGGCTAGAAGAATTGGTTGGGTTTATAATGTACACCAATAGTAAAGACAATCCCAAGCAACATCCAGTGTCCAATGTAACTGCTGTTTACATATTAAACAGAGATACAGGCTTTGTAGCAGGGATGTTCTGTCATGTTTCTCCACAGGAGAAGGCTGTCATGGAAAAGTTCATTATCAATTACTGCTGTACAAGTGCAAGATGAGTTAAGCTGTCATAATTTTCTCAGCTAGAGATCCTGTACTGTCAAAGAATGTCAATTTTTAATCTGACACACAGAAGAAAATTATCTCTTATTCTGACCTCTAATTTTGTGACATTTTAATGCAATAATTGCTGTGGTTAGTGCTGTAACTATGATTTCACCTGTCAAGGAAAAAACGAATCAATATTCTTGAGCTGTTTATTAAATTTTATCTTTCACTTTACTAAATTTCTTGGTTTTGAAAAAAGAAAAAAGGGAAACTAGCACTACATCAGCATTCTTGCAAATGTTATCTGATGAAACTAGAGCTTGCTATGTTTCCAATTTGTGTGCATCTATAGCAATAGTTCCCCCCTTCCCCACCAATGCACTGTTTCATTAGACTATAAATAATGTTTGGACATAGATATAATAATTTTAAAAAAGTGGTTTGGTTTGCTCTGGGGGTTGCCTTGGAATACAATCCTAATGAAGAAAAACTAAGTATTAAACTAGCCTTTTAGAAACGTGTGTGTGTGTGTGTGTGTGTGTGTGTGTGTGTGTGT